CGAGAACAATTCGCATCTCTGAACTTCGAACCTAGACCAAAAGTAGCCAAAGAATTCGTTGAGACTAAAGAGCAAGATTGCAGACTCCGAGTGGGTCTGTCGGCAAGTGTAGCCAAGTGCGAAGAGGTCACCCTTGGATGTTTGTTTCCCATCAACACCTCGGATAATAAGCCTTTTGAAACTGGGCTGGTGCTCGTTCAGATAGATGTGATGACCGCCAAGAGCGTATTGGTAGATCTTGTTGCGGATTTCTCCAGGTAGTTGCAGCAGTGGTGAAGCTTCTTGGTTCTGTAGGAATCTAGGCTGGTGAGTCAAGGGCCCGATGGGAAGGGCAGAATCGTCATGACCAACACTTACATGGCATCTGCCTCCTCCTGCGAATTTCGTGAAACATGATCCCCTGCGCGAAGCGTCTTGCTATTTGGAAGTTCCATGTTTTATGTCGAGAGGGTGTTAGAGATAAACTGCAGTAAATTGTTGCTCACGGGAAATAGAATAGGGGAATGCAGCCCTAGTGCCCTTTTTATACTGGAGTTTGTGCGATAATGATGAAGAAATATGGTTACCTGGGTCAGGTGAATAGGCGAGTGTTTCCTACGTCACGCGGTAGAACGAGATATACTCTCTATGTAAGTAAGCTTTGACCCCAATACACAGGAGTGAACTAGTCATGATGAGATCAGAAAAATGCTGCTCATACTCAAATGCATTTTCATCATAGCTTTGAATCGCCAGAGGAACTAAGGTACTGTTCCTCTTCTTCCTGACGCACACTTTGCCACATGTCTGCAACACGCCATAACTTTTGCATCCCAATACTCTCCAGTAATGCTCCTCTTCCACTGCGATACATCTCGTCGTATCTATCGTCGTCTACTTCAACTGAACCGTCTTTGTCGAATACTACCATTTTACCATCCTCAACCCACCCTTCACCGTGAACATATTTAATGAACTGGTCTTGCATGGCTCGTGCTATTTTTCGATCTTTATCACTGAAGTGAGGGTCAAAGTTCTGCAGGAGATAAGCGACGTCGAGCTCGTGAGCTGCAAGGCCTTTGTGGGGGCCATCTATTGGGTTAGGGACGTGGAAGTGGTATCGTGAAGCAGGTCTTGGTGGTGAGCAAGCTTTCCATCCTCGGTACGCAGCCAACGCAGGCAGATAGAAGCGTAATTCAGATCCAAGTATTAACATGCGGTCCTCTTTATCTTTCTTGGGAGACTCGCCATCGAGACGATATGCCTTCAGCAGTTCGTGCGTCTCAGCCGGTGACAGATGAGTTTGACATGCCTTCCTAAGGCGCCCATGGCTATCAGGTTGAGCAAGGAGTCGCCCGATGACGATGAGCCCATCGTGCTCTGTGTCTCCTATCACGAATTCTTTGCACCAGGCTGGCTTATGTATAGCGCTTGATCCATCCATTATCGTCTCGATCGTGACTTCACGCGTTATGAATTGGCCGTCAACTGTCGCAGCGAAATGCTGAGCTAAGGGTAGCTTCTGAGCCAACTGTTCCGCATCGGTGTTCAACAGGATCTTTTGTCTGCTCTCGGTGTCCTTGACATCCAATTTAAGATAGGTAGACTGGTCCTCGTACATCTTCTGTTGCCACCATCTGTTCCTCCATTTACGCAATGTTGCTTCCCCACTCATGACGATAACCCGGTCGAAGAGTCCCTCTTGCCCGACATTGGCGCAGAGTAGAGTCGATAGTGATATCGCTCCCGCCGACTCGCCTGCAGCAGTGATGTTGTTCGGATCCCCTCCGAACCCAGCAATGTGCTTTTTTACCCATCTGAAAGCTAGTACCTGATCTTTGTAGCCCATATTGCCGGCTGCGCCAATCTCGTCACTAGCGAGGAAGCCGAAGATGTTCAGTCGATAGTCCATCGCGACACCAATGAAGGGTTTGTCGGTTTCTGCACCTCGCTCGACCAAACGGCGTAGATCATACTGTGGCCAGCTGTTCGATCCGATGCTGAGACCACCTCCATGTACCCACACAAATACTGGTAACCCTCGTCTTCTGCTCTTTTCATTGCTCTGAATACCCTTTGGAACTGTGACAATCACATTCAAGCAATCAAACTCGTTCATGTTTTCTGTTTTCCCTTGACCATGGCCGCAAGGTAAGACAGCGTCTCCGATCAAGGTCAAATCCCATGCTTGAGCTCCATGCAATTGTGGACATGATGGACCGAACTGGGTAGCATCGTAGACTCCGTCCTTCCCAACTTCTAGTATATCATCAGGAATCGGTTCTTGATATCGTGCGGGTATTGATGCGTATCTGAGGTTGCGGAATTGGATTGTCGATGCTGAAGGTTCACCACGCAGGGTCCGCCTTAATGTAGGATGGTGCAGGTTATTCTCGTCGGCTGACATTGCTCTTTGTTACTCCGCGTCGTCTTCTGAGACTGCTGATCAAGATCTTGGGAGGTACGCCAATTTACATACCACCCAACATCTGCCGTCGTTGGCCACCCCGCGTCATTCCCCAGAGAGATGGCATGGATGTGGGGAGATGTGGGGCTGGACCTCGGCAACGGGACGGAGGCATCTTACGGACGCAAACTCGATGCTGTTGAGCAGGAGGTATTACTGCATGGACTGAATTGTGGCGTTGAGGTTGAGGGAGGATGGAAGAGGCACGTAGTCATCCGTAGACGCACTCGTTGCAGTCTGACGCGCTAGGCATGTGGATGTCGGGCATCTTCGGCCCAGTCGCGTTCCCATCAGGCCAAATTCTTGTGCCAACATCTGCTGATTCGGTCGATGGTCCTTTGTCCCAACCATTCCATTTCCCACGAAGAAAGTGACTCAAAAATGTTAGCAGGAGCGATAGTGCTAGCTAAGTAGCAGACAACAGCAGCAACTGATGAGAGTAATAACCATTTACACAAGCATAGCTGGAGACTACTACGATACAACAATGACTTTACTCTCTGAAGAGGTTCAGTGCAGAATGATTGTCTCTGCATGTACCTGTGTACACCCGTGAACCGATCAAAGCCTTATGACGACCTTCGTCTCCTCACGCCTGCTGAATCGCGCGTAGTATTCTGGCGCATCTTCAATGTCAATGATACTGCTGACAATAAACGAAGGATGAGCCCGACCAGAAGTAATGAGAGGTACCAGTTCCGATGCAACACCCTGTAGGGGAAGCACAATACCGCCGTTGATAGCAATTTGCTTCGTATAAGCCGTGCCAATACTGAAGTCATTCAATGTGTCGTTGAACAGACCGACGATACCCATACCACCTCCGGGTGCCGTTACCTGAACCATTTCGCGTAGGGTGATGGACGAGTCAACCGTGCCGTCTGCGGTCTCAGCTTCGAAGCCTACACACTCAACGCTTCTCCGGACACCTCCAGGTTCCCTCTGCATGATCTGATCGACTGCAGATGAGTTGCGGTAGTTAATTGGTATAGCACCGATGGATGCAGCAAGGTCCAAGCGGTCTTGCACGTGGTCGACACTGTAGACGCGCGAAGCACCACGAATAACTGCCGAATACGCGGCCAGGAGACCGACTGGCCCGGCTCCAAAGACGGCAACGGAGTCTCCCGGTGTGAAGCCGGACCAAGTGACACCAGACCAAGCAGTGGAAAAGATATCGGAAACGAACAGATAATCGATGAGTGTCGATTCACTTGTGGATGCGTTGACAGGGATTGGGATCAACGAGTTGTCGGCGAACGGGATTCTGGCATACTCCGCTGTTGTTCGAGTCAGCATATTGTTCTGAAGATTAACAAGAGAGGTTTGAGGGAGACTCACTTTGCACACCAGGAAGTACCTCCCCCACTAGGCCGCCAAAGCCCAGCGGCGGATCATATACATCAGGCTCCTGAGTCCAGTGTCCGTTGTCTAGGTTGTCTGGAATGACTACGTAGTCACCCACGCTCAGAAATTGGACGGCATCCCCTATCTCTGTGATGTAGCCGATAGCTTCGTGACCGTAAAAGTATGGCTGCTCAGGCGAGCCTGATTCCACGTGATAGGTGTGCATATCGCTCCCGCAGATGGCGGTCATGTTTATTTTGACGATGACATCCGTGGCATTGAGGATGGTCGGAACGGGTACGTCGACGACAGAGACATTGAGGGCTTGACCGAACTGTGCGACTGCGCGCATCATAGCTGTAATATTCGAAGCCATGTTGCCGACAGAGTTGTGATGAAAATCGAGGATGGAGTGAGTGATAGTGTTGTGGCAGACACATTACAGCCATCTCTCTTATACACATCTCTTCTGTCATGACGAAATCAATCAGGACATCATCGTCAAGCCAAGATCCCATGAGTTCGGATGTTATCTGGGAATTGTGGTCCTCAGCTAGTGTGCCAACGGTCGGAGATAATGGAAGGATGACTAGGCTGTGCTACATACCTCTCTTCCCTATCAAGGTTGAAGTTGAGGTTGCGTTCCACTTAGTACCCTTACTTGCTATTGATTCGTAGATCGCGATGTCTAATGTTGGGCGCTCACTGTCTACTCTTTTGGCAGACGGGACGTAACATAGGGTCTCGCATGGTGATAAAACTGGTGTCTTCTTGTCCCTGATTCCTTCAGATCTGACTGCTCGATCAAACCATGTTGATTGGCAACACCAAGTGCTTCCTGTACTATGTCCGTTCGAGATCCAGTACACAGAAGGATCCATCGGGCAGTGCATGCCGCGCGGCACTCCCGAAACCAGTACACAACCTAGGTACCCGTGGCGATCGTTATCCCGATGGCAGTATGTCATCGTGCTTGCTCAGCTGCGCTAGTTGTGCGAAAGCGTGAATGAAATGGACATGGCTATTTCATTCTGCCGCCTGAGCGTGTTAATTACATCAGACAACTACCTTTCGGTTGAGGATGAAGGTGATGGTAGACAGCACATTCGGGGTTTGCCTAAGCGTGTAAGCAGGTTGCATTAGCGTCTTGGCAGGTCGCTCCTCCCCGAAGTCTGCTGTGCTATCCCAACGCCAATCATGACCTCATATCCGACATCTCTTCCTTGGTGGTTTAAATGTTGCTATCTCCGGGTCATAGTAGTACTTCGCGATTTGGATGGTCGTCTTGCTAAACCTGTCAGCTACGTGCATGGTCCGAGCCCATAACTCCATGAGTTCCTGGCTGACTGAACTTGGGAGAAATGTATGTACGCCGGCTTATATTGACACATGGGCGGTAGGCCTTTAAAGGGGCTAGGGTTGGTCTTTGAAGAAGCAACTACTCGTTCTGCCACTCAATTCAATCCCCTCCGAACTGTTCACCAAGATGCCTGGCTCTTCACCTGCGAAGCCCGTTGACTGTACGATTGATTTTGATGCCAGTCATCTGGTAGGAAAGACCGCTGTCGTTACTGGAGGTACGCATCACTCTTGAATCTACTGATGCAATTACGACAGCTGTTTCAACTACAATCATCGGAAGAAATAGCTAAGTCAATATACAGGAGGTAATGGTCTTGGGGAAGCCTATGTTCGAGCACTGGTCAATTCAGGGCAGGTCTATCTTATTATTCTTCTCATCACGAAACCATGAGCGACTAACAGGAAGACAGATTGAAGGTATGCTTCGGAGATCGTGATGCCCACCGAGGAGAGCAGCTCGCTTCTGAACTCAAAGACTGTCGCTTTGTGCACTGCGACGTAACAAACTGGGACAACCAACTTCGGCTGTTTAGCGAAGCTGCCTCGTTATCTTCCTCTGGGAAAATTGACTATGTAGTCGCCAACGCGGGTATCATACATGCAGACGATGTATTCACATTCGAAGGTAAATCCACCATCTTGCAAACTCAGTCGGACTCATACATCAAGCTGACCACCCACAGGTCCCAACCAGACGCCCAAGAAGCCAAATCTCGACATCATCGACGTAAATCTCAATGGCGCGCTCTACACCAGTAAACTTGCAATGCACTACTTCATGACCCAAAACGGCACATCACCGAATTCCTCCCAAACAGACACCTGTCTGATCCTCATTGGCTCAGGAGCCGCTTACCTCGACTGTCCACGCGGACCCCAATACAGTGCCTCCAAATATGCGATGCGCGGTATCATGCACTCCCTGCGTCGTACAGCGTACTACTACGGTTCTCGCATCAATATGATTTCGCCATGGTATGTGCGCACGAAAATCCTGACGGATGACGACTTTGATGCGGTGGAGAAGGCGGGTGTACAGCTTGCTACTACAGAAGATGCAGGGCAGTGTTTGCTGAGGATCTTGAGCGATGGTAGTATTAATGGGCGGTCACTTTTCATCTCAGCAAGAAAGTGGGCACCGAGGGGTTATATTGATCTGGATTTGGATGAGTATCCTGGAAACGATCTGTTGGAGGAGATTCAAGCTGATCAAGTCAAGTTTGCGCCTGTGGAGGCGGGCTTGTTCGTCTGATCATGCGTTTGGTAGCATAGAACCTTCCTCCCTACGTAACTCAGTAAAGCATGGGATTCTGACAATATGGTCGGAGCATAATACGCATCTCGCCGCGTCTCATGCCGAGAACGCAAGCATGTTTCATAGTATCGTTATGTTAAGCGCGCGTATCCACAGACACACGTACCTACTCATCATCCTCATCATCCTCGTCCTCCCCAAATTCAACACCATACTCGGCACACACATCCCATCGATCTCCCTTCGCACTCTTACTAACATATTTGGTAAACCTCAACACACCACGATCCCTCAATACAATAGCCAAATTGTTCCACGCAGCTGGCTGGCTGAACAGAATACCATCGTCCTCATCATCCGCTGCAGACTTGTAGATTGCAGGATCAGCTTTCGCTTTGCGACGCTGACCAGCACCAGTGGAGGTCGAGGCTTCAGACGTAGGAATATTGGGGTGGTCGTTGTCTTCATCGCCAGCCATGTACATCTCGTAACCGCCAACTTCTTCTTCAGGCTTGGGCTCTGGCTCCTTTGCTTTACCATTCTTCTTGCTCTTTTTGCTGCTGCTGCCGTTTTTCTTGGATTCTTCAGGTGCTTCTTCAGGCTCTTCATCTTCATCACCCCAGCCGCGGGAGGGTGTGATGCCCAGGCATACTTCGAGCTGCGGGTCTTCTTCTTCGTATGCGGTCGCGAGGGTGTAGTCGAGACCTCTTCGGAAACGGCGCGCAAAGATGTTGCTCTTGGTCAGTGTGATACCAGTCACAAGCGAGATCCACTTCATGAACGCTGGGTGTGGGAAGAGGATGTCCACGAGGTCGTCGTAGGGTGTCATGCCGTCGTTCTCGGGATATGGTGTCGTTGGTATCGGTTGGATTGCTTTCCGATAGAGATAGCGCTGCTTATGCGGTGGTCTTGCGACACCAACCATCGACTCTTTTGAGTGTGGGTTGTTGGGTAAGCTTGTGTTCGCCTCGTGGTCTTTCGACTCGAGGTACTCCCGTAACCGCGCAGAGAATTTGTTGGATAAGAATTGCGCAAGTCTTAAAGAAGACTCGTCGCCGAACATGTTGGACAACTCCTCTACTGTATCCGGTACCAGATAGTTAGGGTTCATGAACTTGATCAAGAAATCGATGTCGTTCTCAGTCAGCTCATCGTCCTCCTGTTTCGCCTGCTCTTGCCAGTCTGGGTTGTCTACCCAATGCGATTTTGGCTCATCGAAGATGTCTGCCTTGCCTCCTTGCAGTTGAGCAAGCGAACTCTTCTCTGCCAGCTTCTCCTCAAGACCCTCCTCGTAGCCTTCCTCGCCCTCTTGGGGAATGTGGAACCATCCGCTGATGGCCATGCGGATACGTCCACCATCCTCCTCTGCCTTTTCTTCCAGGCCTCTCCTGTAGACCTCTTCGACATCGTGGAAACTCTCTCCGGGTTGAACAGTGAAGAAAGAGAGCTGATTCCAGGCCGGCGGTATCGACAGCGAAAAGTCTGGTTGCGGTACCCTAACTTTGTCGCCTTCTGGTGTTTCAAGATGCTCCGTCGGGTACAGTCGTAATGCGCCTCCCCATTCAGGCTTCCATGGGATATCGGGATCTAGCAAGTATAGAATCCAGCTTACGCGCCGACTTCCAATGACGTCGTCGTGGCATAACAAATGACACCCTGGTGTGTAAACATTCTGCGCTGCGGTCAATGCAATTCCTTGTATGGTGAGTTACGAAACCTACCACTGCCATATCCGTCTTCACGCCGCTCAACGGCCCAGATCCTGTTATCGAAGACAGATACTTGCGAAACGCAGACGAGTACAGCGAGTCGCGGAGGGTGAGCAGGGAAGGCAAGCGCTTGAGCGCACTGTCATGGAGACCATCGAGGTTTGCGAGATCGCCAGATTGGTGGATTTTGTAGATGTCTGTCTCTTTGGGCGTAAAATGGATGTGCTCGCGAATTTCGTTGCGGACATTGCGGAGGAGCGTATCGTCGACGAGATTGTGAATTACGGCGTGCTTGTAGCTATGACTTGAATTAGCGCTATCCAGCTCAAGGAGGTGGAGATTGGCACATACGGCTGGGAACCGGCGTACTCGCTCGTATATGTCTCGAGTACCTTGCCGTCGAAGAGACCGTCGCGGAAATTCTTATGCGCTTCGTCATCGGAGATAGCTCTCTTCTTTTTCGCCTTGCCATTGGCAGGCGCATCATTCTTGCGCTTAGCCATTGCGGAAATTTAGCGACAATTTCAGGTTTGCGGGGAAAAGGTTCAGTTGTCGCGCAGGAGCAATCAAGGGAAACTTGAGCATAAATTTAGTCGGCATTAAGCTTTGAACATCGCCGATGCTATCGCCTCCCTCACACCACAATCTCTCCACCTAGCCCACTACAGCATAACCACGAAGATTAATGCCCAGCGTGGACGCCTTCTCCTCATGTTCACCGATAACAGATCAGCCAGATCGCGGGCAGTGCTTGCAAAACTATAATCAAGAGTCCACGACCTCGGTCACGACTGGTAGGATGGGTATTCGCTAATGTGCGGAGTGCCAGCCACTCCGGTTGGTCGACACCCGGAGACCACACGTCCGGTGGCGTCGATCGCGTTAAACTTTACTATCATGGGAGATCAACTTGGGTCGTCATGCTTTCACATGATGAGAAGTATAGACAAACAGGATATCTGTTTAGGTGGTCATGAATAGCAACTGTCTATTGGGTATCTCAAAATCGATCGACGTGCTACGACTAGGGACGTTTATCGAAAGCGCTACGCGTCTCGATACAGGACTGTTACGAGCGCCTGGTGTGATGTTGATCTCCGCATGAGTTCAGTACAGCTGAGTAGGTCGCGTGGCAGTGGTGACCACGAAGCCACAGTCTGCGACGGCACATCTTATTCCTCGTGGCCTCCTGCAAGCAGCTTAGCCATCTTCTCCTCCAGCATCTTGACATCATTCCCAACAGTCTTGACGTTGTTGACCATGGCCGTCTCGGCTGTCTTCATCTTCTTCTCCAGAACCTCAAGTTGGCGCTCCCACTTTTTGATTTCTTGTTCTTGCGTCGACTGCCTGCTTTCTAGCTCTGTTAATACTGTATCGGCTTGCCAAGCGCTTGTATGCACGAGTCGCAGTGTGCGCAGACGCTCTAGGACCAAAGGCAGAATGGGCGATAGCTTGTCAACAGAAGGCAGGGTGCCATACAGCGCATTGATCTTGGCATCCTGGTCTGGATATATGGGAGCCTTGTTGTCGCCAGAAGTCGAACCAGCTTGTGCAGCTTCCTGTCGAACCTCCTTCAGATGCTCCGCTTCTGCTGTGAGCTTCTTGAAGTTCTGTGTAACGGCATCCATATTGTTGGCAGAGGCGTCTCCAATCAAGCTGAGTGTCTGTTCCAACCTCGTCAGGGTAGTGGCGACAGGGAAAGGCGTATGGTCGCTTAGATCCGGCATTGTGTTTCCGTTTAGGCCCAGATTGTTTTCCATCTGAGTAATTCGCTTGTCAAACTCGGCCGCTTGGTTCAGCACAAACTCCAGCTGGCTCTTTTGTATCTGGGTGCCAGGTAGCGGCGGCTTCTTTGCAATGGCATCGCTGATCTTGGGGCTGGGTTCAAAGGGCTTGTAGCTCTCAAACTTTTGTACCGTCCGATCAAGTATCGCCTGTGCGCCCCGAGCACCGCCCTTGTGTGCTGTGTATATCGTGTCGACTTTGCTCGCTATCAGCTCCATCATCTCCTTGGGGTCTTGCTCCTCAATCTTCGACTTGTCCCCGCTCTGCACCCCGCGCTCGTACTCCTCTTCCAGCCCAGCTAGCTCCCTCTTGATCCGCAACAGCTTCTTTGCGAAGCTTTCCTCTTCTTCGTCGCTATCATCTCCTATTATCTCGCCTCGCCGTCGCTGGCGCTGTGTCGATGTGCGGTAGGATTGGCGTTGTGCGGTGATGTTGTCTGAGAAATCGACCCCGCGGGCGTCTATTCGTGAGGGCTGGAAGCGGCTGCGGGCTTGGTCTGGCTGGAGCCGTTGGTGACGGACTGCTGAGTCCCTGGGGTCGTCATCGTCGCCTTCCCCATCGGATTCGGAAACAGCGGTGGAGGCTTGTATTGTAGACACGTCTTCGGCGAGTTCGGGCGTCTCGTATATGTCCGGGGCGGTGTCAATGCCTGGGAGATTGTCGTACTTGGGCCGTGTTCCTTCAGACATGGCGGTTGAGTGCGTAAGAGCGGTATCGCTTGTTTGGCGCAAGTTGGGTGAGTTCGAGGGGACGCGTCCAAAGTGGCAGTCGCGACTCACGCTAGTCCCCGCATGGCATAGTTGGCATGTGTTGTACACGGAACAAGTAGGTGAAGATATGATGAATGGTTTGCTCTTGCCTGCATTTAAGGCAGGTTTCAATCGCTGTCTACATGGTCTGCACTCAGCGATACTAGACCTCACGCCGGACACAAATGACTCTCTTCGAATGACTAGACCCACGCACGTCATGTTTGGAAACAACTGCTTGACCTTGTCTATGCTTGAACCTTGAAAGTACGACCGCTGGCTGTCTTGCGCTCCTTCTCCTCTGCCTCGGGTCGGGCTCTGCGAAGAACTATATTTTGTCAGCACAAATATGACACAAGTAAGACGGTGTAGAATACCTTGGAGGAAGTCTGCAGTCCGCTTGCGCATCCTTGTGTGGATGAAGGCCTTTGAAGCCTTGATGTGGTAGTGAAAGTAGTCTCGGAAGGTTTGGATATGCGAGATAACATCCTCGCGCCGTTGCTTGGCAAGATGGCGAGGGAAGAGCACTGCCAGAGTTAGCCGGGAGTACAGCAAGTGGGCTTGGAATGCGTACCAAATGTGATGTAGCCGATCTCAGCTGAGCCAGAGTTGTCGACTCCTGGGATACCTTGCAGCTCTAGGGGTGGGTCGTTCCTGAAGAGTACTTGTGGTGCGTTCTGAATAGCTCTCCGTCTGGCGTCGACGAACTCCTGGAGGAACACCTTTCCGAATATCCTGTCTGTCTCTTCCCGGAACACAGTGGAGAAGATGACAGTGACACGGTCGTGGCTGGCCTTGATGTAGATGGCCTCCTCCTCTCTGTAGTGGATCGCGCGCACGGCACCTCCTTCTGCTACACCCTGCGGCGCCGACTCAGATGTGTATTTGGAAGCTTCTTCCTGCAATTCATGGAATTCGTCAAAGGCCTGCTCGAAGGGTGCAGCCATGGCGTTCCGCTTTAGGAGGGACACACGTCGGACCAGGTCTTCTTTGGCCTCTGCACAAGGTCAGCATCTTGCTTCACCAGTCTGGGCATGCACCGTACCCTGCTCTTCCGGTAGGTTCTCCAAGTCGACCAGCACCGAGAAGTCGTAGCCAGACTCGGGCTCCACGATGTAAGGCCCATACTCTCGCTCCAGCACTGCCTGCGCGCCATACTGGACCAGCTCCTTGAAGCACTTGATGTGCAACGACACTAGTATCTTTGTCTTGCTCTCCGGTGTCGAGATGTGGAAGGTGACGCCGTCAAAGTCGGAGACGACCTGGTCAATGTTGGCGGTAGCTCCTCTATGTGCTGTTAGCTACCTGGCTGCTGCTGCTGCTGCGGAGCGGAAGGCAGCGGGGTATTGCGCACCCATTGATTCGTTCCCTGAGTAGGGACTCGATAAGCACGTTTTGGTAGTCGAGAAGAAGCATGTTGGTGGTTCAGCTTCTGGTAGGCGGGTTGGCTTGGTCGGGCGGGCAGCTATCGAGGGCGGTGATGCGGAGGACGGAGGTGTGCTGTGATGCTGGAAGGTGGGCCTAGCGCAATTCGTGGGGTTGGCCCTTGTCTAAAAAGTTTCGAGAAAGTAACCAACTCCCAACCCGACCGTTACCAGTGGCGCATACCCGTGAACCTTGTATACGGAGCGCAATGACCTGAAGACACTGCTTCTGAGCTTCTTCCAATACTCCCGTCACGCGATATCCGATTTTTTTCTAGAGGCGGCGCAAAATGGTCAAATCCTACAGGTAATGCGCACATGCAGCGCAAATGGAACAGAGCTCGTACTGACTGCCATGTAGCAAATATGAGCAGACCGATGCCTTTGGCGTGGTCGCGACTGCCACTTCCAACATCATTTGGACCCCAGAAGGCCTCACCCAGCCCGGTTCGAGTCGATCCGCAGGCGCCGGACGCGCATACGCCGCCGCCAACGAAGAAGTGCTATGTTGGGATGTAAAGAAGGGTGAACTCATGAGCAGATGGCGCGACAATACCTGTACCGAGGAAGTAACCGTCATTTGCCGGAGCGAAGTCGATCCAGATGTCTTTGCCGTGGGTTACGCCGACGGAAGCATACGCATTTGGGATGCGCGAACGTCGACCGTCATCATCAGTTTCAATGGACACAAATCTGCAGTTACCGTCTTGACTTTTGACCAAAGTGGGGTACGCCTGGCGAGTGGTTCCAAGGATACGGATATTGTGGTTTGGGACCTGGTGTCGGAAACCGGCTTGTTCAAGCTGAGAGGGCACAAGGGCCAAATTACTGGTCTACAGTTCCTCCACCCCAGCAGTGCTTCGCAAGAAGATGGCGCAGATGACGAAGAGATGGACACGGACGCAGACCAAGCCTTCTTACTATCTACCAGCAAGGACGCTTTGATCAAGATTTGGGATGTTACCACTCAACACTGCATCGAGACCCATATTGCACAAACCAACGGAGAATGCTGGGCACTCGGCGTTTCGCCCGATGGCAGCGGTTGCATAACGGCAGGCAACGACGGCGAGCTCAAAGTGTGGGCTATTGACCTGCCGGGCCTTCGAAGAGCAGGCTCAACTATTGGCGAAGGAACAGAACAAGAATTTCTCACACCCAGAGGCATACTATACCGGACAGGCAAGGATAGGACACAAGGCATCTCTTTCTACGCCAAGGCTGATTACATTGCCGTACATGGCGCAGAGAAGGCTGTTGAGATATGGCGGATTAAGACACCAGAAGAAGTCCGGAAAAGCTTAATCAGGAAGAGGAAGAGAAGGCGGGAGAAGGCCAAGACTGAGACGAACGGGGACGACGACGCTGATGCTGACGACAAGGTCAACGCCGCCGATGCTGAGATAGGCGAGGTCTTCGTACCTTACGTTACCGTACGGACAGCTGGAAAAGTAAGATCGGTCGCATGGATGCACATCAAAGGAACGAAGAAGCTGCAGCTACTGATCGGTACCAACAACAACCTTATTGACGTTTACGAGATACCCCAACGAAGCAAGACAAAGAGCGAGGAAGCACCCGAGTACAGCCGCACACTATCCGTCGAACTCTCTGGTCACAGAAACGATGTACGGGCGCTCGCACTCAGCTCCGATGATCGCATGCTGGCATCCGCGTCGAGTGGTGGACTCAAGATCTGGAACGTCAAGACGCAAAATTGCTTGCGTACCCTTGAATGTGGCTATGCACTTTGCTGCGCTTTCTTGCCTGGTGACAAGATTGTTGTTGTCGGAACGAAAGACGGAGACATTGAGCTGTACGACATAGCGGCATCCACGTTACTAGACAAAATCGACGCACACGAAGGAGCCGTTTGGACTATGCAGGTACACCCTGACGGAAAATCTCTCATCACTGGCAGCGCCGACAAGTCCATCAAGTTCTGGAACTTCGAGATCGTCCAAGAAGAGATTCCAGGAACGAAACGCACGACACCTCGCCTCAAGCTCGTCGAGTCGCGCATACTGAAGGTCAACGATGATGTTCTGAGCGTGCAAGTTTCGCCCGACTCTAAACTCCTCGCCGTAGCAACGCTCGACAACACTGTCAAGGTCTTTTTCGTCGACTCGCTGAAGCTCTTCCTCAACCTCTATGGCCACAAGCTGCCTGTGCTCAACATGTCGATCTCCAGCGACAGCAAACTCATCGCGACCTGTTCCGCGGACAAGAACGTCCGTATCTGGGGTCTCGACTTTGGCGATTGTCACAAAGCGCTCTTTGGTCACGAAGACAGTATCATGCAAATATCCTTCATCCCCCACCCTGTCGATAACGACGAACGCCACATCTTCTTCAGTGCCTCCAAGGACCGCACAATCAAGAGCTGGGACGGCGACAAGTTCCAACAAATCCAGAAGTTCAAGGGTCATCACGGTGAAATCTGGGCCATGACTGTCGCTCGAACAGGCGATTTCATCGTCACAGCGAGCCACGACAAGAGCATACGCATCTGGACCCGGTCTGAAGAGCCCATCTTCCTCGAAGAAGAACGCGAACGGGAGCTAGAAGAAATGTACGAAAAGACACTAGCCACCAACCTCGAAGACGATGAGGACATGACTGGCGAACGCGCCGAGGCAGTCGACGCCAGCAAACAAACGATCACCACCCTCACAGCCGGAGAACGAATCCAAGAAGCCCTCGACCTGGGCATCGCCGACCTAGACGTTGTCCGAGACTGGGAAACCCAACGCAAAACCAATCCCAAAATCGCCCCGCCACAGCGTAACCCCCTGTTTCTTGCTCTAGGCAATATATCCGCTGAACGACACGTCCTCAACACCATGTCCAAAATTCCTGCTGCTCAGCTGCACGACGCGTTGCTCGTTCTACCCTTCTCATCTCTACCCGCTCTCTTCACTTTCCTGGCTATTTGGGTGCGCAAACAGTGGAACGTAACACTGACTTGCCGCGTCCTCTTCTTCATGCTCAAAACGCACCAGAAGCAAATTGTTGCCAGCAGAGAACTCAAGACGGTGCTTGAGCTTATGCGAAGTGACCTCAGGAAGACGCTGGTGGGTAACAAGGATTTGATTGGGTTCAATGTTGCGGCGTTGAGATTTGTGGGGGAGAGGGTGGATGAGGCGAAGTTGGTTAGGTGGGAGGATGTTGATAAGCTGGACGAGGAGAAGAACAGGAAGAAGAGAGGGTTTGTGGATGTTGCGTAGGTCGGTGGATGAGGTTGCATTTCGAGGCGTTTTCTCTCTCTCTTAAACATTTGGGTGTCAAAAGTAGTTATTCGGTGTAAAGATCTACGTTGCGAATGCTCATTCATCGTATTTGAAAGGGTTTACACTTTGTTGAGAATGACTGAATCAGACGTAATGCTTCGTGCCGACCGGCCGTGGTTCACTTTCGTAGTGAACATGTCTAATCCCACAGGTGATTGTACAAGTCTTTACAGACGTGCTGCCCAGTGTCCACATACACACACAGCATATCTTCGCGCTCTTCTACTACCAAAGCTGTTTCCAATTCAACGTCTATCCCATGGCCTTCAGGAAGTTAGCCTCCTTGATGGTAGCTCTCCTCTTATTCCTCATCGCCTTTGTCAACTCCTCTCGCGCATCCTGCGCCTTGATCGACCCCTCCAGACTACCGTCTCCAGCCGGTAAATCAATAGTTTGCTCGTACAACGGCACTTTTGGTACCATCATCTCTGGGTTCATGGCTTGTTCCTTACGGAGGCGCTTCGCAGCTAAACGACGTTGTTTCTTTGATTTCGCTGTACGCTAGTTAGCAAAGTCGGTCCTTCCGCATAATATAGATACGGGTAGGCAGATCCAAGAGAAGACGTACAGAACAAATCTCCCGCTCCAGCCTCGGCCTTCTTCTCCTGTCGGTCCAATATCGTCCACAGCCAACTCGGGTATTCGTCATCAGCCAACGCAACAGGGTCCTGTCTATCTTTCAAGAAATTCAATCCCTTGAGTGGTTGTCCAGCCGGTATACTGCTCTTTACCAGCGGCGCAGCCTTCTTCTTTGCAGCCTCCGCAGCCGTAGCCTTGAGATCCGGACTCGCAGCTGGCGTTAACGGCTCGCTAAAAGGCTGTGCGGCGGATGTAGAAGTTGCGGTTGGCGGTGTGTGCGAGGATGTCGAGTCGCCTTGGCGACCTGCGGATTGCGTTGCGGTGCTTGCGGAGATTGGTGTTGCGTTGCGGAGGGGCGTTGTGGTGGTGAGGAAGCGTGAGGCTTGTTGTGGGCGTGGGAATGGGGTTGTTTGTGCGCGCGAGGCGGCCCGGAGACAGGTTCGACATATCATCTTGGCCGTGTGTGTATGTGTGGGCGTGGCTTTCAATTGGATCTCTCCTTCGTTGTACTGGTCAAAAGTTTGAGATGCAAAGGGAAGGATGCCGAGGTGTTTCGCCGATTCCGGATCACGCTAGAGCCATCCTTGTCTCCATGCCTGCCTCCCGCAGTGTGCTCGATCTCGGGAGCGCGATGCATGGTGCATAAACGCCATCCCATGCTTCGTCGTTGTTGCCTGTGTTTGAGTCTCACATGTGGCTATCGCTACTGTGATTTTGGCAGGTGCCATACTTCAAATGGCACCTTCCGGATCCAGCACGTCCCATGGACAGTGTATGATAACAAGATAGCGGAAGGACATCACCGATTAGGCAAACACAATCAAGTGCACAAGGGATGGATAGGTGTATGTATACATTTTGATTCCGAAGCATGGTCGTCTGAGTCAGACATGAACGCAGTGTAACCACCACGTCCAGCAGACCCAGACGCATGCATCGTGTTCCTCCGATTCCGCCTGCGGCTGACCGCCTCAATAACATCGTACAAGACAAACGTGAAAGATTCGTTAGAGATAGTGTGGGATTAGTGCCCAAGCTTGACGCTGGTATTCCGGAACGCCTTAGTGTGTTCCTTCCAACCATGCCAGCAGATCAAATATGAGACAAAGAAAAACTAGAATTAGACCAAGGAGTGGTGGGATCAAAGTCCGCAAGTATGTACACGGAAGCGAGAGCGTAAGACATCGTCTAAGGTATAGTGCCGAGAGCAAAAGAGGCCGTCCAGGAAGCACAGTAAAGAAACTTCTCAGATCCAAGCCATGGGAGGAGCTTGGTGCGGGACGCCGAACCGATGGCTGAAAAGTGGTCGGATCTCTGAGAGGTAGTCGGCAGCACAGAAGGACGCGAGGTTCTTTGAGCGCATAACCGAAAGATCAGCCTCGGCCTCTGCATCTCGTACTACGCCGCCGAATTCCTCAACAACCTCGTTGAGTTGCTCCAGTTCGCGGCCAAAGGGGTGACTCTCTTCTTCAATCGTGCCTTTGAACATGTCAAGTGAAGATCGCTGCTCGCGAGAGTGACGTGCAGAACCAACGCTTCCACGCGAGTTCACACTGCCACGAGTACCGACGTTCTGGAGAGATCGCTTGTGCGCCAGTCGCTCGTGTGCACGTTTGCTGTGCGAAAGAGCCCTTTGAGGAATAGCAGGCACAGCCTCTACTGGCTCCTCCTTGACTTGCTTGAGACTGGTGGTTGACGCAGACTTCTTGAGTTGCTTGCCAGCGGAGGAAAAGTAGCCAGAAAGGTGGTTGGGCGCAGGCGAGCTGGGTGAAGACTCCACGGAAGAGGCATCCGTAAGGGTAGTGTCCCTTGATCCATGGGAAGAGGCTCGGGAGCGTGTTGACACACTGTGGTCCGAGTCGTCTGCCGAAGAGTGGCTCAGAGAGGTTGATGAAGAAACATTCCTTAGGGTCGAGATATCGGGGGCGTTGTACGAAAGCATGTTGGTAGTGGATACCAGGGCGATAGGAAGGGATATTTTCGTACGGTCAAAGTTGTTGGGGGCTTTGACACTCTGGCTACGAGTTGGTGATACCGGAGACTCTTTCGGGTCGTCAGTCCGCTTAATGCGCCTAGTCATGGCACGAGCGAGAGACATATTGATGGATTAATTCAAAGCAGAGGTGCGATATTGCAAATAAGGGTCCAACTGTCGGTCCTGGGGCCGGTAATTCAGGCGGTGACTGTAGTTGGTCGCTATCTAGGTGAGCTGCAGATATGCGGGGTATTGCCGGATGTAGATTGCGCTTGGTGCTGGCACGAGGTCCAAACAGTCGCGAGCTAGAGTAGCACTAATGCGTTTGCTACGTTGTTCTAGAAAGAATCTGGAAAAGATCACGCTGTGCTTTCGGTGGTGTATTCGAGACGCGTGACCTTATCAGTGTAACAGTGCACTGGACTTGGGAGTTGTATCTGTTGTACAGATGACGCTAAGATGTTGGCTTGGGGTCCGGCGCAGTTGATTCCAAGGTTCCGATCGAGTCCTTGGGTTCCTTTGATGGTCTTTTGGGTTTTCTTAATGTTGGCTCTGGGGCGCGTAGTGATGAAGTGAAGAATGAATCGTGGATATGAAGAAGGATAGTCTGTCAAAGAGTGTAGAGACCAGCTGTGTCGTAAGGAGCGAACACCGGGCCGCGAAATGAGGGAGTGATAGCTGCTGTGGAAGGCAACGAGCGCGTAAGGCAAAGGAAGGGAGAAGGCCTGAAGAAGAGGGCGCGCGATAGAGCGACTGAATGGGTTGAAAAACCAGCATCCCCGGGGCGGCAGGCTAACCAAGCCGCGTCGACATGTCTCTCGAAGATTGGTAGGAGTGACCGGGGCAAGGCCAGAACCAAGCAAAAAGCAGCAAATCAGAGTGTATTGGTTCCTGGGGTGCTGAGTTAGTGGCGTCGACACAGCCCGGCTAAGTTTAGCGGGCACTATGTTTTCTATAGCTGGCGAATGGGATTGCCTCGCAGAGAGTGCATCTGCCGCCCATGCGTCTCAGATTGAGCCGGGGCTCGTTGGCCTGTTTAGTTGATCCGCACGCTTTCGTTGGGGCTCCAAAGGCCCGCTGTTTCAACGCTGCCCACAATCAGAGATCCACTACCGAGCTGAATGAAGGGCTTTCCCTATCTTGTCGCACGGCATTGACATGTGAGATGATTTGGGTGCATGGCGGATAGGTGAATAAAAATTGCAGTCGGAGGCCGGTGGCACAGTTGTCATTCTGCCTAGACAGCTCACCACGCATAGCATGGGATATGGATAAGCTCCGATGCCAGCGAAAACGGTACCGTGGTTGTGTTGGCGACGGCGCAATCTGTCAACCCGCTCCTAATCCGGTCACCTGGCACTCTCGAACCTTGTGCAGAGGCGCCAAAAGCAGACCTCTCACTCGGTGCCACAATCGTACCTCAGGGACGCACGAATGACAGTCATCATCAAAGGGACCGATGGCATGATGATGGTTTTGACCCTCCGAGGTTTCTGCCTCGCGTGGCCTTGGTGGTTTCGAAACTGATAAGGGCCGAGACGAGGGAACCTTGGGAATGACGATCTCGCCGTCATCTTGCGAGATCGAGACTCTGAAGCAGCGTCGTCGTCGGGTCCACATTGTGGAGATGTTGGTGCCCTAAGCTGCAAACGCAGGCAGATCAGCCGGTCGCTTGTCGGCTGCGTGGTGTGAGTTCGCCCGCTCGTTCACTTTGCTTCGTCACGCTCGGGCGCTGGCACTGAAAACGAATTTGAGTTTATCGTTTACCGTTGCTCGTGGTGATGGTGATGTCATTACAACGTTCAACGATGAATCGTGTTGCGACACGATGAGGCTACCCGATTCAGATGAGATGAAAGGAGCTGAAAAGCAAGGGCGAGCTGTCCAGGTCGTCGGGCAATTTTTGAAACGCGTGCGGGACCTGACTCGCGAATGCGACCCGCGAAACACCACCGTACAAGGGTCTCTCGAGCGTTGCGGGGTCAAGCTTCACAAATAGCTTGATTGTGCAACATGTAGGTAATGGTGCAAATGGTATCAGATCTTGGTACATTCGCCACGTTTTGTAGGTCCTATATGCCCAGGGTATCATCGTCTACTCCTCCATCGACTCCCAGCCCTTCTCGGCACCCTCCTCCTCGCCCTCGTCGTCGCTCTCGCCTTCCTCACTATCAGAGTCTGTGTCCTGCTCCTCAAGACCCACGAGCCTCTCCTTGCCATCTCCTCTAATCGCAGGCACCTTGCTGGCAAAGGCTGCACGTACGGCTGCGTTGGTGCTCGTGTCCCAGATCTGTACTGCACCTTTGCTTCCTGCGACTGCCAGCCGGAAACCGACTTCTTTGTCGGGTGCAAAGGATGTTGAGAAGACGCGCCCAACACCAAGATCCCGTGAAACAACCATGCTTGGTCCGTTGTCCTGGATGTTCCACAGTTTTACTTGCTTGTCTGTTGAGCCTGTGACCAGGTAGCCGGGTATCACTGGGTTGATGTCGAATGAAGAGATGGATTCGTCATGTGCTTGCAATACCCATACCGGCTTTGAGGCAGAGGGGTCTTTTGGCGCATTGCGAACGTCGTGGTAGTGTATCATACCATTCTCAGTAGAGACCTGGGATTGTCAGTACGACGTGATGGAACTCGTGTTACAAGACTTACGTAGAAGTAGTTGGGGTCGTGAGGATTCCACCGCACAGTCTCGACATCACTCTCAACACCCCATCGTGGCGCCTTTGCGTCGGGTGCACGCACGTCGGCTGCCACAACAGTTCTGTCGTAGCTACCACTAAGCAGTGCAGTGGCCTCGACGGGATGCCAGGCTACGGAGCAGACCTTATCCGTGTGGTACGTGTATGACTTGGCACACTTTGTCGTGTTCAGGTCCCACAGCTTGATGGTCTTGTCTGCGGATGAAGAAGCGAGGAAATTCCGATGTTGTCGGTTTGCTGCAAGTGAGAGGACCGAGTCGACGTGGAACTCGTCGTTGGCCTTCTTCGACTTCTTCTTCTTCTTTTTAGGCTTGTCCGCCTTGTCCTCGGCGCCTTGTCCCAGTACTGCGTCTGGATACATGCTGTCTACCACGTCCAGGTTCCAGATCTCGATATCGGGGTCCATGGTTCCAATCGCCACGTAGTTGCCCCTGCCTTCACTCGTGCCTATAGACTTGCCCACAGGCAGATCTAACCATTCGACGGCAAGCGGGATGGCAGGCAGCATGATGTCGTGGTGCACGTAGAGATTGTCATCCTCGTCCTCGTATACATAGACTTCGAGATGGGCGACTTCGTCCTCTATGCGACCAGCCAAAACTAGGTTGTCTGTAGCCAAGATTTGAAGCTCTTCGCGATCTTCTTCGTCCTCTTCCTCTCCGCCCTGCATGGTGATGTACGGATCGTCCTCGTCGTTCTCGTGGAAGACTAGGTTCTTTGCGTTTCCGAACATGGCCATGGTGTCGCCCTGGTCTTCGGCAACATCGTCGTCGTAGTGCTCGAGGTCGTATTCCTTGAGGTCGTCATCATCGTCCCTCGAGACTTGTCAGCATGGAAGAAATAGATTTTTCGGGCGCACGCACTCATCATCCTTCTTGGACGCCTTGGACGAGGTGCCGTTCTTGACCTTCTCCTCAGCCTGGGCCTCCTCGAGCTCCT